GTTTATTCTGTTTAAACACACACACACTCACTCACTCACTCACTCACTCACTCACTCTTACTTTAGACCCTCCAAGGTTTAAAGAAACTTTGATTCAACAAATATTTGCTGAAGGCCTAGCGAGAACTGCAAGCAGCTCTGGTTGTCAGAGATACCAGTAAACACGACACAGCGTGTGTGGACCGAGCCTACGCCTAAAAAGGAACAAACAGTTTATCTTTGCTGTTGACGTATAAAGCCAGTTCTTCTGATATTTCTTACCTTTTAGAGGAAGGAAGGAAGGGAGGATATTTTTTAAATTGCTAGTATACTATGTTGTTGTTGTTTGTTTATTTGCTTGGTTGGGATTTTTGGTTTTGGTTTTTGGTTTTTTTTACTAATTTAAGAATTGTCTGGTTACTTTTATTCTCCAGGAACATGGAATTATTTTCTGCAGATATGCAGTAGTTGATTCTAAAACATTCTCAAGTCTGTTATCACGAAGGACTTAAAGATTTTTTTTAGCACTGTGACTTCCTATCAAGTATCTTTAAAGTTACCTTTAATTTTATTTCACTTATTTTTTATGAAGGGAAATGAGATAAGAGGCCTATGCTCTTGGCCCCCCCTCCGCCTCCTAATCCTTCCCCTTGGTGTTTTTCTCACCCTGCTAGCCCATCGCTCCTGCTCTTCCTGGTCTGAGTCTGGAAATACCATGTGTTTAAGTAAAACAAATCTAATGATAAGAAATGGAGAGAGGGATGGTGGGTATAGAAGGTGGTATAGTCTTCTTCATTTCTGGGTTTTATATTTGAAAGAAAGGGAGGAAGTGGCCTTCTATTACCTCAGTTTCCCTAACTCAGTCTTGGAGGCCAAACTACTTAGAGATAGTCACATAGATCCAGAGGTCTAGACACAGGGACACATCCTTTTGGCTCTGACACTCTTTTCTGGACCATTAAGGAACACCAGCAAGCTCCCAGAGGACATCCTTAAAGAGCCAAGGGCTGTAGGCCGAGACAGAACCTCATTTGCACATGGCATTTGACTGCTTTACAAAGAGCCTTCATTCCCATCCCCATTCAGTCCTCAGTAGCAGGGGTCTGCGGACTGGACTGGTACCAGTCTGTGGCCTGTTAGGAACTGGGCCGCACAGCAGGAGGCGAATGGCAGACAGGGGAGCGAAGCTTCATCTGTATTTGCAGCCGCTCCCCAGAGCTAGCATTGCCGCCTCAGCTCCCCCTCAGACCATCAGGCATTAGATTCTCATCAGAGCACTGGGCCCTGATGCCAAAAAGATTGGGAACTACTACTCTGTCACACAGGCTCTGTCACATAGGTGAGATTTCACCATCTCATAGATGACCAGACATCAGGTAGGTTAAGCAACCGAGCCAAGCCTTGAAGTCCATATTGATGACCTGAACTCAAATGCTCTTTCCACCTCAACACGGGTGGCATGAGGTGCGGTTAACAACTGGGCATCACACGCGGTATCACATCACCGGAGTCCTTTGAGTTCTTTGTCATGAAATGTGCTCGATAAGCGTTAAATTGTAAGTGACCGAAATTCAAGGCTAACCAGAAAGTGGGGGACTGATTCACATTTGCTAAGCTCTGACATTCGTGGTAATCTGCAGAGGGAGGGAGACGAATAGGACCCTGGATATAGAAATGTCTCAAACTCCTTCAAGCCAACAGGCTTTAGGGTTATGGGTTTCATGGGAATCCAAATTGTTTCTGAAGTCAGGAGTGTCAGAAAAAGTCAGCTCTGAGTCTGGTTGGTCTGGGCCGGGAAGGAACCTCCCAGCCAGGCTTTCTTTCGACTTCTTACGCAACCTCATTTATAGTCTGAGCAAAGGAGGCATAAATAAATAAATAATCATAGTAGTGATAATAATTCCTCCAACTGCCTGTCCTTATCACTTCTGTGCTTCTACAGAGACTAGAAGGGGGAGGATTCCAACACACAGCAAAACCCAAACGCCTCATGGTAATATCAGTGTCGAGTACTTTATGACCAGGAAGGGGGATATGTAAGAAATGACCTCAGGGAAAACAGATTTAGGGATGAACTAAGCACAAGATTTTGTTACAGAGGCACTCCCCTAAAGGAAAGTCTTTTCAGCTGCTTCCTTCCATCTTTGCCACCATGAGCTCCTCAGGGTGTACACGTGTCTGTCTCTGTCTCTGTCTCGTCTGTCTGTCTGTCTGTCTGTCTCTCTCTCTCTCTCTCTAGCCTTTCAATTTATACAATGGTGGTCATTTAAAGTCAGGATTGTAGAAATTAAACATTTCTTCTTCATGCAGCCATTACAGAGTCACAGGGGAAACTTTCTGTTATTTCCAACTGAGCACATCCTCTCCTCCTTCTGGAACTTCTGAACAGCATCAGAGCCAGACTATGTGACCTCCAGACTATGTGACCTCCAGACTATGTGACCTCCAGAGGAGATAGAGAGGAGGGTTTGCTTTCTTTCCTTCATAGATCTTGATTGAGGCAGAACGAAAGAATTCCAGCAGAATAAAATATTATTTTTAAGTAGTTTAGAGTAAGGACTTTAAATGCTTTTCATGGCCAAACATAATAAGGCTTTAGAATGAATCTTAAGAGGGACACAAATCCTCATGTCTTTCCATCAAAATCTGTTACTTCTGATTTCTAACAGTTATGTATTTCACAGGAGGTATTATCTCTCTTTAGCTCATTAGGGAAAGTGAAATCACAGAAACAACGATAATGGCGAAGTCAGATCCTTGTTATCAGAAATTTAACTGCTACTCTACTTGGACCATAGCAGCCAAATACTTGCATATGCTTTGCCCCCATTATCTCATTTCATAAAGTAGGAGCACCAGTTGCT